TTGATATGCTTGAATGCTATTACGAATTCGCTTTAATCGGCAAACGAGAGCAAGGCAATGATAAAGTAACACGATAGGCTACTCTAATCCGATATCTACGGCCCGGCTAACTAAAGTCTTGATAAGGCGTAGAAAGTGTACTCTACAAGCACCCAGAAAACACGAGGTCAACAAGCACACATTTCGAGCTTATTTACACATCATAGGAACGTCCTTGGGAGAGTGACAAGATAGCCTACTAAAATAACCAATCAACCAATGACATCCAAAGATTTTCCGAGTGACGAATGTAAACCAAAGGTCAACTAAGCACAACGTATATGCAAAAACACAAAAAATCCAAAATTAGGACATATTCCAAGTGAGTTGTTGGGATCTAACTTCCGCAACAAAGTCCCAGGACAAAGTAAGGTGAAGAATGCTTGTCAGCGGCATATGCTCTCCTGGGGGATAAGTAAGTAAGTAAGTACGTAATTAAGTTGGTAACACTAAGCAAAAACTTAATTTTTAAATTGATCATATTTCTTTTTTTCTTGGGAGAGTCACAAAAATAGCGTTCTAAGATTACACATCAACCAATGACAGTCAAGGATTTCCTGAGTGGGAAATGTAATCTTATTGTCACCGGAGCATCCCGTTCGCGGAAGCACAAAAGTTCAAATTTAGGTTCTTTATCGAATTAGTTCTGAGGATCTAACTTCCTCAACACATCGTGCGCGCGAATGCTTAACCTGTGAATAATTGAGCCGGCATCCTGCAGTGTTAATGTCTAGTTTTTTGATTACTAAACGATATTACACATCCTGATATGCTCGTCAACTGATATGCTTGAAACTATTACGAGTTCACCTTGTTCGATAAACGAGAGTGGAGACAAACGATGCAGTAACACGATAGGCTATTCTAATCCGTTGTCCATGGCCTAGCTAACTATAGCAAGAAGTCTTGATATGGCGTAGAAAGTGTATTCTACAAGCACACAGAAAATATGAGGTTGACAAGCACACAAATCGAATTTATTTATATATTATAGAAACGTCCTTGGGAGAGACACAAAAATAGCGTACTAAAATAATACACCAACCAATGACAGTTAAGGATTTCCATGGTGGGAAATGTAATCTCAAGGTCAACTGATCAGCCCATGTGCGAAAACACAAAAATCCGAAATTAGGACCTCTTACTAGGGAATTCTAAGGATCTAACGTCCCCAACACATCCTACTCATTGACTTAGTGGTCAGCTGCATCACACTAAACTCGATTGGTCGCTAATTCTCATTAGAAGCCGAAGAAATTTCCCCATAAACATAAACAGAGATTAATTACGCCTGGCAAAGGAATCCAAAACGCATGTTTTGTTCCATTTGCAACTCGCCTTTAGCTGGATGCATCTACCATATCCTAGAGTTGTTGTTCACAGTGAAAATGAGACTGGTCAATTGTGAAGTCCTAACTATCAATTAGAAAAGTCAAACTACCAATACAAACGTATTAAATTTTCACTGCATTACACAAACCAGTGATTGTTTCAATCCTGGTAGCTAACTGAATGCAAAACACGGTAACGTTTGAAACTAATGGTACTAGGTTCAAGTCCCGTAGTGAACACTAAGATGTGACACGTAAATTTAGCTAAAGATCAATCCCAAGTAGGATGAACCATATGTCTTGGATCTCATCACTAGCAGCCCGCCTTTGCTTATAATTACTGTATAACAACTGGGTAAAGTTATTAAAAGATGTGATATTTTAGGCTGGTCATGTACAGAGAGTATAAAACACTGAACATTTAACAAGTATGACTCATATATTTCTTTGTTTCTCTAATTACAGAACTTCAAGCTGAACGTGATCGACGTAGTCCAACAAAAACCTTGCCAAAACTTACAGGAAATAAACAAGTAAGTGTATGTATATAACAGAATTATTCTGATATTTAATAATAAGGTTAAACTTGAAGTGTCAAGTACCACCATTGGTGAAGCTGTTAACGGGTATTGATCGATTAAAATCGGTGTGTTATTTATCATGGTTAACCAGCAATCACCTATTATACTTCAATGTGATATGATGGTATAGGGTCAAACTCTTTTTTAATGAACAATATCTCAGTTGCTAAAAATTTTTTGACTGAAAGATTATTTTTCAGTGGATAACTGAGTTTGTACTACCAGTGAGTGGATTGGATACTCACAACAACATAGAGAGACGGCTAAATCCGGTTAAGCTAAAATACCCGGATTCTCGACCGAAATAGATAACTAGAATAAATGATAGGCAATACTTTATTTAACAAAATTACAAGTGATCACATTCAATGAGTTCGGAGTAGAAATCAGTCACAAACAAACAGTAAAGGAAATCATAATATTCAATAGCCAGTTTAAGGGTTGAGTGTCTGTTTTTGTCAATACTATGGGATTGAAGTGATATGCTTGATAGGCTTGAACTATTAGAAGTTTACCTTAGTCGGAAAACGAGAGCATAGATCGAGGATCCGACAACACGATATGCTACTCGAATCCGATTGTCCCAACCCCCGCCTCCCATTGTGTAAAAGAAGAAGACTTGATATGAAGTAGACCCTGTATTCTACAAGCATCCAGCAAAACGAGGTACGAGTACAAAATAGGATAAGGATCCCTGACTAAGGACCCGGATGTGGGTCCAGGTCATAAAGCGTTACAGATAATGCATATTTATACAGTTCGGTCGAATAGGAAGTCAACATTTGAAGTCTGTGACATTGAATATTTAGGACAACCAATAGGAATTGACCAATAGGAACTAGACTTACAAAGATAATTCTCTTAGGATATTGGTTGAATATAAGCTGACATTCAACTAGGCTAACTAACGTTTAACTTCTTTAATCAACCAATCAATCAATCTCTAATCTTGTGTCATTTCACCATTTATAATTAATTGTCTTTATATTTTAATTTAGAACAAAGATCAACAATTGGCCAGACAAAGAATACAAGAAAATTTCAATTGGAATTTATTGCATCATTTGACATGTTGTACAGGCAGTGGTGAACTGATCGGTGTTGTTTATCATCCAAGTTATCAATATCAATATTTATTAAATCATTATTTGAAAATTGATCATCAAGGTCATATTATGATTGGAACTTACAATGGTGAAGGAAATTATAGTCTTGTTTAAAAAAGGACAACAAAACGAACCACGGATTTGAATCGATATTACTTTAATTTTGTTTAAAACGTTCAAACTAAACAGTATTCTATTTTTTTAAAACAATCATGATATTAATAATTATAATAAAAATATTATTTTATATTAAAGAGAAGAGAATTTTTTGTCTCTTTACATCAATTGTTCATCAACCTAGAAGTAATGAGAAACCGTTTGATATAGATGGTGTTACGGGGTTGAGAAGTTTGTTAGGCTACATACACATTTGAAATCATGAATCGATCAGAGTTAGACCACCATTAGAAACCTGCAAGAAGCACTGGACGGCCGTTTCGTCCAGGTATAGGACTCATCAGCAGTGCGTATCCACGATTCCTGCATCTCTGTTAGGATATTCAATATCCGATATCCTAAGAGAATTATTGGTCAATTCCTATTGGTTAATTCCTACTGGTCAATTTTATGGTCGTCCTAGTAGTTATCAATGTCACGTGTTCCAATTTTGTTTCTTATTGGTTGTCCTGACTATCACTGTCACTTCAAATGTTGCTTCTTGTTGGTCGTCTTAACTGTCAATGTCACACACTTCTATGTTGGTTCCTATTCGACCAAAATGTTTAAATACGCATTATCTGTAACGTTTTATGACCAGCACCAGTACCCGGTCCCGGATCCCTAGTCAGGGATCCTGATTCTCTTCTGGATTCGGACCTCGTATTTTCTGGATGCTTGTAGAATACAGGTTCTACTTCATATCAAGTCTTCTTATTTTTTCTCAATAAGTCGTGTCTCTGGGTCCTTGACCCTCGCTCTCGTTTCCCGACTAGGTAAACTCCTAGTAGTTTAAGCATATCAAAATGGCGTGTTTACGTGCAGGCGTAACAACCTCGTAGGATTTTAACCCAGGACCTTCGGTATTGTACGCGAACTCCTAACCATTGGACCACTGAGCCGGTATCTGACAGTGTTAATGTCTAACGTGATCAATTCACGGAGATGCGTAACCTTATACACAGTCTTTGGTAGTTACTGTCTACACCCGAACAAGTTGAACTTGACTGACCACGACTTCCCACTAGAATTCGGAGAAGATTCCTCATGGAGCTAGTCACTAGTGCGCATAAGTAATTGCATTATGGGGTTGTGAAGATTGTTAAGTTACACATTTGATTAGTTTAAGACTTGTTAGAAGTAAACATTCATGACAAATCGAGGGATCGAACCATAGGACCATCGTGTCTCGTTTTCATGTTTAACGTTTATTGACTGGACAGACTCGTTCGAGGTAACGACTCGTATCAGATAAGATTGCTTACACTCACCCTTTCTCTCTCTCCTGATGATCAACTGGACTGTGAAGACATCAATGTCTGGAGGGAAGTTCGGATACAGTGGACAATCACGACTCAGCTGGGCGATCTAGTCTTCACAGATTATCTGGCTCTTTTGTTGTACATGCAACAACAAACGCAACAGCCTCAGGAGCAGAAGGTCTCAACATACACAAAGGGAAAAGCAAGATTCTCCGATACAACATAACATGCACCAACCAAATCACACTTGACGGTGGAGCTTTGGAAGATGTAAAAGCCTTTACATAGTTTAGCAGTGAAATTCATGAGCACGGTGGATCGGCTGCCGATATGAAAGTGCGGATCGGCGAAACAAAGGTTGCATTTTTACAAGTGAACAATATCTGGAACTGAAGACAACTATCGACAAACACTCAAGTCAGACTTTCCAATGCAAATGTCAAGACAGTTCTACTCAATGAGACGAAATCTTGTGGTACAACGAGAGTCATCCAAAAGGTACAGGTGTTTTTCAACAGCTTTCTTCCGAAGATACTGAGAATCTGTTAGCCCGTCGGCAACAAATTAGTAAAAAGTGTCTAAAGTGGATAGAAGACAGATTAAGGAAATCCCTAAACTGCCCGACATGACAAGCCCTCACCTGGAATACTCAAGCTCTAAAGGAAAAGAGGAAGACCAAAGAACACATTATGCTGAGAAATGGAGACAGACATGAGAAGAACGAATAGCAACCATATAGAACTGGAGAGGAAAGCCTAGGACAGATTAGGCTGGAGAGTACTGGTCAGCGGCTTATGCTTCATTGAGGGTAACAAGCGTTAGTAAGTAGTTAAGTTTACGGAGTCGAGCTTTTGATCGCATAGTAGTCATCTGGTGATCTTCTTCCAACATCCCAATATTCAGTAGCTACTTCAAATATATATATATATATATATATATATATATATATATATATATATATATATATATATATATATATATATATATATATATATATATATATATATATATGATTCAACCACACTAATCAAGGTTTTTCATTGAAACTCTGGGGATCTATTTCTCCTGGAATTAAGTCATCTGCTAAGACACCATCAATGATAAGTCTAGAAAGTTTGTGAAGGTTGTATAAACCAACTTCATAGTATACATCTTTAAATGACCTTAACTAGAAAACCACTAGAAAGCCAGAAATAAAATTTACTGAACAGAAGTTTCGCACTGATATAAGACTGACTCTTCAGTATCCATAACTTGAGGAGAAGTAATTGGGAATTTCAATCAAGTAATCAAGTAGACTTTTCTCGTCTTGACTTCTCATTCAATTAGCCAGTCTGATGAATTTCACATGTATGAGATGTGCAGATCTTGGACCACATAAATCATTTTGTCAGCGTCTAATGATTCAATGCCAGACTTATAAACAACTTGTGATATAACGCAAAGATCACCCAATGTCTAGAGCGCTGTTCAGTCTTTTCATATCTGTCTGTCTCCAATTCTCAGCGTAATGTGCTCTTTGGTCGGTCTGTTTTTTTCTGTTGGCTTTGAGAATTCCAAGTAAGGGCTTTCCTCGTAGTACGGTCTAGAAATTTCCGCAGTTTCTATCCTATCCACCTACAGCACTTTCTGCTAGTTTCATTGTCACCAATAGGTTGTTGCTGATGGTGTGTGTGTGTGTGTGTGTGTGAGTCCGTCACGGATTGTAATCCGATTAGACGGATATTGCATATCATAACAGTTTTGCATAATCTTTCTTATTTGAATTGTAAATATTCGAAAGTTTAAGTGATGAAAACCGCTAAATGAAGACAGTTACATAATTCAACCGCCCGATTTGAACTATGTACGTCTATAATTATTGTAAATGACGATATACTACTTCTATCTTATTCATACTGTATATTTCAATGTTCATCGTTAACTCTGATGAATTGTTATATCACGTTGGTGTTAGAGTCAATCAAATGAAATATAGTCATCAATTTTCAATGTTTAAAAATTTTTTCGGAGTTGAGTAATAGAACTAACTGATTGTCCACAGGCTATGCATGATGAACACAGATGACGTTTCCAGTGGGAAGTATTTAAGACGACCGTAGAGACTGACCGATATCGTACAACAGTGTTACAGGTTGTAAAAAATTCGATAATCAGATCTATTTTTATTCATTTTCTTTCTAATCAAATTATTCCAACAAGTTACTTCGATCTGTTTGTTTGGTTCAAAATGCATTAGAATTTTCACCAGATTGCAAATGACTGATCTACGGCCTAGTGATCTGATAGCTTCTGCTGGTGTCGAGAAACCCTACTGTTCTGAAACAAGGATATTCATCCAAATTACAGAACATACAAATTCATGAAGTCACTGACAAAAGGACTGAGTCATTTTGGTAGATATCGACTACCTGGCCGGGATCCATGAAATAATCGTAACCGACGGTTACAGACCCTGAATGACATGGTTCAAAACCGTTTGCAATGGTGCACGTGCAATCGTTCTTTGTGTTCGCTCAAATTCTAACCTTCAGAGTTCTTTATCACCTTTATCTATCTTTTTCTTTTTAAGTTTATTCAGTTAGACTCTACTTCTTGAATAAGATGCTCGAATCCTAATCTCTTTAACTGCTGCTAACACTTCTACTACCTCTACTAAAATGGGATTTGAACTGACAATTGCATCTCTCTGTGCTAATGTGGTATGTTGACTTGAACTGATATAAGTACGTACGTACGAATTTCTACGTTGTAACTGACTGACCGGCTAGAATTAACACAGTTGAGTGGCTAGACTACCATCCATTGGACATTACCAGGTAGATGGGGCCGTACCGTAAGAATAAGAATCAAGCACAAAGAAATCAGCTGATTTATACTAGCTCGTGAAAGTGATAGTTGCCATATTGGATGTCTGTTAATCGCGTGATCTATTCAAGACCACATATACAATGTTTATGACTTATCGCCGCACAAGTTACGAAATATTACTATTCTAAACATCGCAGTGGCTAGAAAATAATGCTGAGAATTCCAAACAAGAATAAACAAGGCTGTCAGTTTTACACTCTGAAAGCATGAGTGAATCACTAGTAGACTACCATTAGAAAGAACACTCTTCATAATACCTTAATGCAAAATCAAAAAATTGTGCTCACTAGTGACTAGCTAGTTTTGTGAGAGAATTCTCATAGAACTAATGAGAGGACTAGACTACTGAAGTTCAACCCTATAGAGTAAAGACAGTGACTAGACAGTGGGTGAGTTTGCACAAAATCCTTAGTTTAATCAAAGTTCGTCATTAACTCCGCCGGTTCATTGGTCCAGAGGTTGAGCGTTCGCAAACATGAGACTAAACGTCTTGGGTTGGAATCCTGCGAGTAGCAAGAGTTGTGGATGCGCACTGCTACTGAGTAGTCACATAATAGAAA